CGACATCTTCTTAATTCAGAGTCACTAAGACCCCCTTCTCCCCTGACAAAACGAATATACGAGAATACATCCGGCACACGATGCTGCCTGCAAAGCTTGGCGTCTCCCTTAATCCCATGGTACGTAGCCACCAGCCGAGCCCTACCAGAAAGTCGATCCCGTTGGCACAGGGCCCCGGCGCCTGCCCGAAGCTGCCTGGCGTTGAGCTCGGATCGACATAGAGCGAAGCAAATACGAATGTACGAAATTCCTACTTCCTGCCGCATTGTTTTTTGATTGCCACCGACCGCGAATCTCGTGGCAGTGCAAAATAAACCCTGAGGCACCTCGACTCTCCAGTATAGTTGGACTGGACTTCAAGAACCGGGATAGAAAGAAGAACTTACTAGGCAGTAGTCACTGGGACATCTATTCTGTCTCTAGCGGCCATTTAATTAGGATTACTATTAACCGCCACAGGGGCACTACTAGTCACGAATGCAGAAACAATTGATATAAACCAACCAAGACACGGCGTCTGCGCCATCCCAGCCATAAGATATACCATGCAAATATCAAACACAATCAACGGGCTTGTCATGACATCGTAAAGGTAGACCATCGTCTCCTACAGTGGTCTGCCCAGCATCCGGAGACGCTCTCTCAATGCATCCGCCTCGCGGTCCTCTTCAGCATCTGACCTTCTTTCTCTCAGTGATACGGACCGATACTCTCCGTCTCCTCCGGGTGCCCCTACAGTCACCCACACGAACTTGCTTCCGCTGCCCCCTGCTGCCCGCTCCTGGGAGCCCTCCCAGAATAATTCCATGGGGCTTGCAGCGCCTGACGCCTTGTCATGTGTGGGTCGTCCTCCAAGGCGCCCCTGCTTCACCCAACCTTTCATTACCTCTTTAATAAAATTGATCTTCTGTAGGAACGAATTGGCGTCTAGGATGTCCCGAACACGTTCATCTGCGGAACTAGCGCCAGTGCCATAAGCAATGCCGAGGAAGGTTGCAACTTCGTCCGAAGTGACTGCCCGCGTGTCGAATCCAGATGGGTGCATCTTGCCCTTGGTGCTGAGGTATCTTGCTGCAGAGGGCGAAAGGTGGTAGAAGTCGACCCAGGGTGAGGAGCTTCTTGTGCGTCCAGGAGCGATCACGAGCTTCGTGTGGTCAGGGAAGTTGAACTGTTCGATGTGTTAGCTGGTGCAACTGACATGTAGCAGATGGTTGACATACCTGGAAGGCACCATCTCCGAATCCCCAGACGCCAACATTCCCCAGTCGCTGGTAGAACTTGATGAATTGACCCGAGCTACCGGAAGCCAACTCGTCCTCCAGAGCTGCGTCATCTCCGTGTCGGCCTAGAGACCCGATCATGTACTTGCCAAACTGATCGACGAGCTTAACTCGTTTGATCTTTTCGGCGTCCGCACGCGCGCAGTCAAGGCCGGAGTTTGTGCGGATCTTGATACCGGCCGCAGAAGATCCACTGGAGGAGGCCTTGACCTCGAACAGCGACGGTGAGATCAGAGCTCGCCGAATCCCGCCACGACACTCGGCGAAGTCGCGGGTACAATTTTCATAAAATTCTACCGGCTTACCATGGCGAGGAATGAGCTGGTCTGCCTCGGAATACCCATAGATCGCTCCCTCTTGTTGCTCCTGGCTACGGGCTTTGCGCCGGATGTGTTTTTCGCCATCCCGCACTACTACGCCACTTGCAGGCTGGCCATTCTCTGCCTTGAAGACGCATCCTACGCTGCCATCATCCAAGACATAGCCAATACCATACCGATTCGTGTAATCCACCCATTTAATCACGTATGCGTGAGGTGGTCGTCGAAGCCCAGCCCGTCTCCGGGCTGCTGAGTGTGGTACCATGTTGGACAGCATGTGTCGCAGATCCATGTTCACATCATCAAGGGACGTCCTTGGTAGCGCCTCCCATGGGTCTTCCACATGAAACAAGGGGTGCAGGCCGAGTGTCGAGCGTGGCTTGCTTGCAGAAGCCGTCTTGCTACCAGACCGGCTCAGCGGTTGTGAAGAGGGATCAGGTCGGGCAGGTTTTTCGGGCAAGCTCTCCTGGGTCGCGGCAGCTTTCGGCGGTTCTTCTTGTCTCAGCACATCTCTGGTCTCCGATTTGGGCATTGCTCGTTGGGAAGGCTGGCGTGGTCTAACTGGCAAATGATCCATTGCTACGGATGCAGGCCGTTCCTTGGCAGCAGGCGGCAGATGGCCAGTTTCCTGGCTGCCAGACTCCAGTCTGCGAGACTGCGAGCGCGTCTGCGAGCGAGTTTGGGAGCGAGTCTTTCCGATTACCAGAGACTCCGGTGCCGTACTAGACTTGGGAATCTGTGGCGCAATGTTCTTGTCTAGATCGCGCAACGAACCCGAGTACGATGCTGCCACACCACGCCGTGCGCGAATTGGCCGCTCTGCAAGACCACCTGAAGGTACAACTGCTGGTTTTGCTTCTGGCTCCTCCTCGAACAAAGCCTTCGCTGTCGGTATGGGATCGGGGATAGCTGCGATTTTCCGGACAGAACCTCTGCCTGTAGCTGCCTGCTGCCGCAGAGTTGCGGCATGACTTTGCGATTCTTTTCGCCGCTGCTGAGCAGCCGCCAGCGCCGCTTGAGTTCGGGTGAGCGAGGCCACATTACTCCGAGCAGATGCGCTGCTCTTCCTTGACAGGACACTGTCTTCGAAAGAGGAGCCATCTCTGCGTGACAGTAAGGAAGTATCGGGGTCGCTCCAATCACCTATCGGGTCATGGGGGTACCTGTACACGATATCCTCTGGAAGGGGTATGACAGGCTGGAATCCTTTCTCCTCCTCAGATAAGCATTCGGCGTATGCCGACTTCGAGCAGTTCTTTCCAGCGGCTTTTCGTGCTGTACCGTCTGGTTTTCTGCCCACGCCACAGAGTGTGTAGAACGCCGCCCTACAGACCAGGTATCGCTGACTAGGATCATCGATGTGTTCGATGTAGCCAGACAACTTCTCGTCGTATTCCAAGCTGCTCCCAAACATCATTCGATCGCCTCGGGGCTCATCCGGCTTTAGCCAAACGGGCCTACTAACGCTGCAAGACGGGTCAAGTCGTCTGGGTATGCAACCGTCATACATCCTGAAAAACGGGTGTTCGACGATGTCGTCCGGCTCAGGGCGCTCTTCTTCAGCGAGGTTCAGACACCAGCTCACGAGCGACTTCGCCTCTTCGGGGATGTAGTTGGCGCACTCGGTGCCTTTCGGCCACACGTATGCCAAGTTCCGCACTTTTTTATAAATCTCCTCTTGCGTTTTTGATTGGAACGGCGGGTACCCAGTAAGCATCGCGAAACTAGATGGAAAATTAGCATGAAGTGAATAAGGGGATTTGGGTATGGGCTTTACCAGATCACTCCCAAAGACCAAATGTCGACCTTCTGTGTATGACCGCCTTTACTTTTGTCGAGCACTTCTGGGGCAATGTAATTTGGCGTCCCGCACAATGTCCGCCTCCTCTTCTCATCCCTCTCAGACATGATCATTGCTGCCAGACCGAAGTCGCCCACTTTAATATCCATGTTTTGATCCAGAAACAAGTTCCCCATCTTCAGATCACGATGCGCAACATTGCGCTTGTGGAGGTATTTGATCGCACCGCACAGTTGGACCATGAACCGTCTGACCTCGGGCACACTCAGGCACTTCCTCTTCCTGACCATATCCATGACGGATCCATTCGGACACAGTTCTAGAATGACGTATATACTGCTGTCGAAAACGAAGGCGCGATGGAAGCCGACGATGTGAGGGTGGCGCATTTTCGAATGAATCTGAAGCTCGGTACGAAACTGTGATGGTCGGTCAGCATACCAATTGCAACTACGCGGCATCACAAGCAAGTGATTAGGTTATGTACCTTCTCCTGCATCTTCTTCTGTGCCATTTCGGATCGAACCACTTTCATAGCAAAGACACGGCCGGTTCGCAGTAGTGTCCCTTCGTAGCAGATCGCAAAACCTCCCTTCCCAAGAAAAGCGCCGGTCGAGTATCGCTCTCCATCCTCTTCCGGCTCCAAAATTAATGATGGTGGTGGCGGCGCATGATTTTTCGATGACGAAGCTTTCTGAGCGGCGGCGGCAGCGGCAGCATTCTTATCCAATACTTTGCGCTCCATAGAGATCTTTGGCTTGACAATTTGGTTTGTCGACCGTGGTGATAGCGCCTCCATCTTGCCTTGAGGGAGCACTTCGTGCCTTAATGTGATCGGGTATCAATGTTGGCGACAAAAGAACGGCGGTGATTCTCGAAACCAGACTTGAGCGGACATCAACTCAGACGATATAAGCGATCAATAGTGGTACAGTGCACTGGGGGTATAATGGATCTAGTGGGCTTGTGCTCTATCGCCTGTCAATAACCATATACAACAATGAAGTTATGCGACTTTGTCCCGGGGAGCAGCGACCGGTGAGGGGGTTTCACCGCACGGTGATGAAACACTGAAACCGCAAGACCGAGAGCGAAGTAGTGAGGCATTGAGAACATATACTTACTAAAAATGAATGAATATCAAACAATTGACGCTCAAAAACAACAATATGCAATCAATGGCACTCCAATCAGGGAGACCGCGACCAGGGAGAGGTGGGGGGGGGAAGACAGGAAGTTGAAGTAGGGATAGACAGAAGCAAAGACGGAGAGCTTCCCGGATGGAGACCAAACGAACTTCCCGATGCGGCAATCGATAAACATTGATCCGAATGCCTGTCCAACGCGCATTGCTGACATCAGCAGGCACAGCAACCGCACGTTATGCACGGCTATGCGCCCCACGAGTCCCGCTGCCGGTTGATGCCTGACAATCCAGTCAGCAGTTGTGAATCATCTTCGACCAACTTCCAGGCCCATGTGAAGAGCTATTTTAAGACCTTTCGTTAATGTCATATGAATTCAAGTCGCTCATAATACATCTCTGGGACCTTTCTCATTCTTTCCTAAATTCTCTCCTCTCCCTCCCCTCCACCCACCATGTCTCTCACCCTCAAGCTCTCCTCCCTTGTTATCCGCACCTTGTCAAAGCCGATCGCCGTACGCTTATTCCACCCTTGCAGTGATGTGCTGCTGACCGGAACTGACTGACACTTCAAAGAACCAAATTAAGGCCCAAGCTCGCGAACATGAACGTTTCCGGCGCATCTGCGTCTCTATGGCGCAAGGTCTCCACCGTATCGACATGCGTCTCCGGCTAGGCAACATTCGCGACAACGCCGCATCGCAAAAACGAGCAGCTGCTGAAAGGGAGCTCCGAAAGCACAAGCCCACGTCCCCAACGGTAAAGACGGAAGTAGAGGCAAAAGCGGAAGAGGAAGCCATTGCGAAAGCCAAAGCGGCGGCAGAGGAGGCAGCGAAGCCGGCACCGAAACCTCACATTCGACCATTGTCCGAGTCCAAGGCCATCGAGTCCGGTGCCACATTTATCAGCGAAACATTCTTGTTTATTGTTGCAGGAGGACTGATTGTCTTTGAGTCATGGAGGTCTCGGAGAAAGGAAACAACCCGCAGGGAGGACGTTGAGACTCGACTGGCTGAGCTGGAGCAGTCTGAGAAGGCCGCCCGGCTAGCACTGTTGGCCTTGGAGAAGGAGCTGCTTCAACAGAAGGCCAAGCATGGGGAACTACCAAAGTCCTCCTCGAGGATCCTACCACGCGAGGTGTGGGACGTGAACCAAGAGGAAGAAGTGAAGCCAGCCGAGGAGCCGGGCTTGCTGTCGTGGATTACGTCGTATCTGCCTTGGGGAGAGAGTCCGGAACAACGGGCAGAGTCTGTGATTAAGGAGAGCAAGAGCGCAGCGAAGCAACCAGTTGATGCACCGACATCACCGGCATCGAAACCAGCCGAACCGGAACCGAAAGCGTCAGAGCCGAAAAAGGCTTGAGCGATGCCAGTATTAGACTTATGCACCTGTATATATTGTTATAGATCAGTTGGGGCACTATGTGGTGGACTATCTTGTTAATGATGTTGCGATACCCTTAGACATGACGGAAGGCAAACATGCGGAGGATGGTTTCGGAGCGACAAGCGGAGGCTTATAAATATAATTTACTCCTCTCTTCAATGAGCGTATTGTCTACATACCACATACCTTCGAACATATACTACATAGGATGGAGCCGGACAACTTTGTTTCTCTTCGCGGCACCTACGGCCTTTCACTTCGAGAGCAATCAATATGGAGAATGCTTGAGCCAATCTTGAGAATGTGTCCGGGCCTAAAAGGTTGGTAGACTCCGATTGATGATGGGGTTTCCCTCCTCTGATACCGATACAGCGGGGGAGGTGAAAGAGGGGAGTGATTTCTACTTCCGCCTGGGTAATGATACAGCGACACTGAGTATCTTGCTTTTGACACCCTCGTCCATTGAACAGTCTGTTGCAGAAGAGACTAAATCCAGACTACGCCAATTTTCTTCCCTCACAAGTGACATGGGCAAGAAAGCTGTGGTATTTCTGCTGTCCGAGACACCATTCCGTAGTGCAAGTGGGAGATATCGTCTTGACGGACTGGTAGCATTACAAGCATTGTGCGAGCATTCTCTATATTTATCCTTTGTGTGAGAAGAAGTAGTTGCGACTACTAATGAGGAGCTGTACAGGATGATCGAATCCCTCCCAAGCATGCTGCCTATCATTCCTATTGCGGACGCGGACTGCTTCCTGGCCTCTGTGCAAGAATATATCACCAATCTTGAGGCAATCGATATTCCACGACAACAATGCTCTGCGAATACAATGGACTTTGCTAGATCCAGGTTCTTCTCTGCTACACTAAGTGATGAACCGGGAAGTCAGAGCTTCAGCAGTTTCGCTGGTTAGTTGTAGGACTCATAGGACTATAAGTGGGATCAGCAACTACAGGAGAATTATCGCGAATAATTACACCCCTTTATTCTATTGTAAGGGGGTCTGAAAGTCAACCCAATGCTGTTGTTCTCTCCAAAAATGCATTCGATGATGTCACATGGTGTTTCGTTGCCCAATTGTGTAGATTCCAGTTAGTATGATTGTTGTACAGTAGGAGAGCATATCAGGCTGGGAGGTGAGGTTAGGTACACACGACCCAAAATATATTTCGGGAGTGGATTGTATTCGTTAGTTATCAGGGAATATCCCCCTATCCAGGGGTTCTACATTAGAAGAAAACCAATGTCCATCAGCACTAGCCCCTATTCAATGCAATTGATGAAATGTGGCAGATGTTATGGTAGAAAATCCGGGAACAGCTGGATGGTGAAGGAGCGACTAGTTCTTAGTTCTTAGTAGTAAAAGCCGGACAAGCCTTGGGCTGCAGGGGGGTGACGTAGTGAGAGGGAGAGAGAGAGGAAAGAGTCGAGGAAGAAGGAAAAGGAACCGTTGGCCAATAATGGCAGCCTCAGGCACTAAAACGCATCAGTCCCTTGGATCGTCGGTGCCTCGGACGGGCGTGTGCGGCCAGCCCTTCTTTTCTTTCTTCCCTTAACAACTACTACTCGACTTAACTAACTGGAACCTTTTAGCGCCAGGGACCCGGGACTTCTAGGGGCGACTGGCGCTCGGGGATTTTTTTACTTTTACTTTTGCCCCGGAGGCAACAACATATACCAGTGAAGTAGTAGTAGATTCCCTACCGATAAGTACTTACTAACTAACTAGTAGTAATATAACTCTGGTACTACCAATCCTAGTTGATTAGATGGGATGGTCGGGTACTAACAGTAATAGTGATTGCGCGTATTGCGAGGCAGCGCAACCCAAGTGTGGCGCAGGCTCCATCGGCCGGCCCGCCGAATCACCGGCTCTCTCTTCTTTCCAGTCTGTGTCTGTCGTTACTTAGAATAGCGAAAGAGGGACCCCGGCCATTCTCTCCTCCTCCACAAGGCACCCTTCCGTCATTCTTCCTCCCTCTCTTTCTCTCTCTCTCTCCCCTCGTCCTCTTCGCATTCCTATACCCCTCTTCTTATTACCTTACACACCCTATTCTTTCCTGCGGGCCCCTCCTCACACCATCCACTAGCTTCTTGGAATGAACCATACGCCCGCTGCGTTCATTCCCTATCTGCTGTGAATTTATCCGCCCCGTTCCTGTCCAGATTGATAGGCCAGATATCGTGACGCTTGGGCGCAACTTCCGGGGAGGTCGGTAGCCACAACTATGGTGAGTCGAGTCGCAGCCCATTTCACTGCCAGTTCGATGCCAGAGGTTTATCCTTTTGGATTGAATTGTCTTTTTGCTGACCCCATCTCTCGTTGTTAGGGTCATTCACGACGTCCGGCTGGCGGGGAGAAGAAGAGTCGCGGCTTCGGTCGCTCCAAGGCCGCCGCCGATGTGGGCGACGGGCGACAGGCGGGCAAGCCTCAGGTCAAGAAGGCCGTCTTCGAAAGCACAAAGAAGAAGGAGATTGGTGTCTCAGATCTTACCCTCCTCAGCAAGATCTCCAACGAGGCCATCAATGAGAATCTCAAACTCCGCTTTGAACATGACGAGATCTACGTAAGCTGCCGCTGCCACCACTATCACCACCACTACTACCACATACCCCCGGTGAGGCTTTCTAGGCGAGGACAATCACTAACGGACGACTTCCATAGACATACATTGGACATGTGTTGGTGTCTGTTAACCCGTTCCGCGACTGTAAGTGGCTTCCCCTGAGCGCCATCAGTGCCCGTGGTCGCATGGCTGACCACGCCCCCTATTCTAGTGGGCATCTATACCGACCGTGTCCTCGAGTCCTACCGGGGGAAGAACCGACTCGAAGTCCCGCCCCACGTTTTCGCGGTCGCAGAGTCCGCCTACTACAACATGAAGTCATACAAGGATAACCAATGCGTGATCATTTCAGGAGAGTCGGGTGCGGGTAAGACGGAGGCGGCCAAGCGGATCATGCAGTACATCGCCAGTGTATCCGGGGGCAGCGACTCCTCCATCCAACAGACCAAGGACATGGTTCTGGCCACCAACCCGTTGCTAGAATCGTTTGGTAACGCAAAGACCTTGCGCAACAACAACTCATCCCGTTTCGGAAAATACCTGGAACTGGAATTCAACACCAATGGCGAGCCGGTGGGTGCCAACATTACAAACTACCTGCTGGAGAAGTCAAGAGTGGTGGGACAGATCACGAATGAGCGAAACTTCCACATTTTCTACCAATTCACCAAGGCTGCACCGCAGAAGTACAGAGGTAGGCGCATTAATCTTGGTTCCTGTGAACGCGCTAACGGCTCGTGACAGATATGTTTGGCATACAACAACCTCAGTCCTACCTCTACACCAGCCGATCGAAGTGCTACGATGTCCCCGGAGTCGATGATGCCGCCGAATTTAGAGACACCATCAATGCCATGGGTGTCATTGGAATGGCCGAAGCCGAACAGGACGAGGTGTTCCGCATGCTAGCTGCGATTCTGTGGATCGGAAACATCCAGTTTGCCGAAGACGACTCCGGAAACGCTGCCATCACCGACCAGTCGGTGGTTGACTTTGTCGCATACTTGCTGGAGGTCGATGCCGCGCAGGTGAACAAGGCGCTCACCATCCGGTTGATGGAGACGGCCCGCGGAGGCCGCAGGGGATCGGTCTATGAGGTTCCGTTGAACACGGTGCAGGCGCTGGCTGTTCGTGATGCGTTGTCCAAGGCGATCTACTTCAATCTCTTTGACTGGATTGTTGGGCGGGTCAACTCTTCGTTGACCGCCAGAGGGTCGGTGGCGAACTCCATCGGTATCTTGGATATCTACGGGTTTGAGATTTTCGAAAAGAACTCGTTTGAGCAACTGTGTATTAACTACGTCAATGAGAAGTTGCAGCAGATCTTCATCCAATTGACCTTGAAGGCAGAGCAGGATGAGTATGCGCGCGAACAGATCCAGTGGACCCCGATCAAATACTTTGATAACAAGGTGGTCTGCTCGTTGATTGAGGACAAGCGTCCACCGGGTGTCTTTGCAGCGCTGAACGATGCCTGCGCGACAGCGCATGCCGACTCCGGCGCGGCGGACAACACATTCGTCGGCCGTCTCAACTTCCTGGGCCAGAACCCCAACTTTGAGAGCCGCCAGGGCCAGTTTATCGTCAAGCATTACGCCGGTGACGTCAGCTATGCAGTCGAGGGCATGACCGACAAGAACAAGGACCAGCTGCTGAAGGATCTGTTGAACCTCGCCGGTTCCAGCAGCAACCAATTCGTTCACACCCTCTTCCCCAACCAGGTGAACCAGGATGATAAGAGACGCCCGCCCACCGCCAGCGACAAGATTAAGGCGTCTGCCAACGACCTGGTGGCAACCCTGATGAAGGCACAGCCGTCTTACATTCGGACCATCAAGCCCAACGATAACAAAGCGCCCCGGGAGTATAACCAAGGCAACGTGCTGCACCAGATCAAGTATCTGGGTCTGCAGGAGAACGTCCGTATTCGTCGCGCTGGTTTCGCCTACCGTCAAACGTTTGATAAGTTTGTGGAACGCTTCTACCTGCTGTCGCCCAAGACATCTTACGCCGGTGACTACACGTGGACGGGCGATGAGGAGTCTGGTGCCCGCCAAATTCTCAAAGACACCAGTATCCCCGCAGAAGAGTACCAGATGGGTATCACCAAGGTCTTTGTCAAGACCCCGGAGACGCTATTCGCCTTGGAGACGATGCGCGACCGGTACTGGCACAACATGGCCATTCGGATTCAGCGTGCTTGGCGCAACTACCTGCGCTACCGCATTGAATGCGCCATCCGCATTCAGCGTTTCTGGCGTCGCATGACAGGCGGTCTGGAGTTCATCAAGCTGCGTGACCAAGGACATCAGGTCCTCCAGGGCAAGAAGGAGCGGCGCAGGATGAGTTTGCTCGGGTCGCGTCGCTTCCTCGGAGATTATGTGGGCGTTGGCAATAAGGGCGGACCGGGCGAGATGATCCGGAACGGTGCAGGCATTAACGGTGAGTGGCATGTTGTGTGTGTGTAGGATCTGGCTGACAAGTGCTAGGATCGGAAAATATTCTCTTCTCTTGCCGTGGCGAAGTATTGATTTCTAAGTTTGGCCGGTCCAGCAAGCCTGCACCGCGCATCTTTGTTTTGGTAAGTCGACGCTCCTTGCTGCAACTGGACGCAGCTGACAACGCAGACCAACCGACACGTCTACATCGTGGCACAAACGCTGGTCAACAACCAGCTTCAGATTGCGTCAGAGAGGACGATACCTATCGGAGCGATCAAGTCCGTCAGCACATCGAACCTGAAGGATGACTGGTTCTCGCTCGTGGTGGGCGGACAGGAGCCGGACCCACTGATGAACTGTGTCTTCAAGACGGAGTTCTTCACACACCTCACCAACGCACTTCGGGGACAACTGAACCTGAAGATTGCCGACCAGTAAGTTCGTTTCATCCTCATCGAGAGCGCCACTAATCCTCCCTAGCATCGAGTACAACAAGAAGCCGGGCAAGCTGGCCACCGTCAAGGTGGTCAAGGACCCCGCAGCCTCGAATGTCGACAGCTACAAGAGCAGCACCATCCATACGAGTGCCGGTGAACCCCCTAGCTCTGTCTCCAAACCCACGCCACGCCCCAAGCAGGTTGCTGCGCGACCCGTGACGAAGGGCAAGTTGCTCCGGCCTGGTGGTCCTGGCGGCGGGCCCTCGAAGTTGGCATCCAGACCTGTACCGGCGCGCCAGCCTTTGCCTCAGTCCGCAGCGCAGCCGGCTGCCGTGCAACCACCCCCCGCCCCCAGGCCAGCTGTGTCGCCTGCAGCGCAGCCCAGACCGGTCCCTCAACCTGTTGCCGCGGTTGCCGCAGCGCAGCACACACGGAATGCATCCACCAGCTCCGCAAGGGCGCCGCCCCCACCTCCCCCGGCGACGCCGCCAGCCCAGAAGAAGCCAATGGCGAAGGTGTTGTACGACTTTAACAGCGACCAGACCAACGAACTGTCGATCCGAGCAGGCGAACTTGTGCAGATTGTGTCCAAGGAAGGAAATGGTAAGTCACACAGCCCATTGTTTACGACGAATGTCAGCTAATGTCTGCAGGATGGTGGTTGTGTATGAACACAGCGACATCGGTTCAGGGCTGGACGCCCGAGGCCTACCTTGAGGAGCAAGTAGCAGCGTCACCCAAGCCTGCACCGCCCCCGCCGCCACCGGCTGCACCCCGCGCCAGCCCCGTGCCGGCGACTAATGGTGCCGCCGCCGCAGTGGCCGCCAAAGCCAAGGCCAAGCCAGCACCGCCGGCCCCGCCAGCGAAGCGGCCCAACATGGCTGGGCGGAAGGTGGCGCCCACACCCCCAGCAGCACCGCGCGATAGTGCCGTGAGCATGAACTCGCACGACTCGTCTGGCGGCAGCGGACGGGGGACGCCGAACAGCGCGTCGAACGCGAGTCTGGCGGGAGGATTGGCGGAGGCACTCAAGGCGCGACAGCACGCGATGCAGGGACATCATGATGAAGACGATGAGTGGTAGACTACATACTACACAGGAGAGAATGAGCTAGAAGCATACCCGGTAGATAAAATAGACATGTATAGCACTGCTGCAGCTGAACCAGTAGATATACCCTGCCATCAAATGCAACACTCATAAACTACCAACCCGTCCTCATATACCCAACAACTTAAAATATTTACTTACAAGAACTTACTCGCCAAACTCATCAAAGCCCCAGGACCACCGGTACCACTCGACCCACTGCCCTGACTCTTCATATACATCTTAAATGCCATCTCCGCAGCCGAGTTAACAGCCGACTGCTTATCACCAGACTACCCAACACCAGTTAGCCCACACCACCACCACCACCAAAGTAAAAAGGAATAAGACTTACAACATTCCCAGATCCCGCCTTCTCCTCCCAAAGCTTACTCGCCTGCGCCATCGCCATACCAATAAACTCATTCTTATCCCCACCGCTGCTACCACCCCCACCAGAGGTAAACATCTTCAGAGCCTGCATCGCAGCGCCGGCACCCAAGCTGCTGCTATCATGTTGCTGCTGCTCTCCTCCATATCCTCCGCCACCGTTATACAACCGCTGGTGCGACTGCACGAGATGCTCCTCGTCGATATCAGGTTGCTCTGAGTACTGGCTCTTGCGGTCGGAGAGGAAGCCCAGGGCGGAGGAGAAGAGGGAACTATCGGATGAAGACTCGTGGGATTGTGCGTGGTGTTGGGCGGAGGAGAATTCGGGGTCGTAGGATCCAGAGTTGCCGTAGCCACCACCTCCAGAGTATCCTCCGGAGGAGGAGGAGTGGGAGCCGGAGGTGGCTTGTTCGAGGGCGGAGGAGATGAGGTTGGAGAAGGACATTTTGCTATTTCACTTCGTAGTGGGTGTTTGGTGTTGGATAGTATGTGTGTTGGGGAGATAGATGATAACGTGATGGATGGTAGGAGGGGATGATGATGATGGAGGGGTAAGGGGTAGGAGTATTTATGAGGGGCTGTGGCGGTGTAGATTTGATGTAGAGGGGGAGAAGGGGTGGAATGGGAATGATCGGCAGTGGGGCAGGGCGCTCAGCCACGATCGGGCGATTTAGTTTACTTCGTACGGAGTACTTGTATTATTATAGAGTAACAAGTGGTAGATAATGTCGAGAGAATGCTTCGAATCATGGCTAAAACTGCAATAACGTGGTATCTCTAAATCACGGCTCCGCCCAATTATGCAATATAATGCACTCACTACTCATACACCCATCGCTACAATAGCATCGCTTCATGCTCCTCGTCCTCCAAAGTCCACATCCATCGCTGCTGTCGCTCGCGCTCTGTCAACATGCATCGCTCGTCGTCGTCCAGCTCCGTCTCGCGCAGCCACTCGTTCGGCCGATCCCGCAGCCCATATCGTTGTCCCCACTGCCGTCGCTCATATTCCAGGAACCCGCCAAAGTGCTCGTCCGTGTTGGCCACCCAGATCGTGCTGCCATCCGGCGCGTAGTCGGCACCGCCGATCTCCCCAAAGAAGTCGTGCACTTGGCGACGTTGGTATGTCTGCGCGTTGACCACGGCGATGCGGTCCGCCGGCTCACACAGGAGCAGGGTGCGCGGCCCGCCGCCCACGGGCGACCAGCGCAGTGACCGGTATCCGGCCACATCGGACTCGATCTTCTGCAGCATCCGCCACATGCGCACATCCCAGATGATCGCTGTCTTATCTTGATTGCTTGTGGCGATGTGGTGCATGTCGGGCGCCCAGGCGCACGCAAACCCGAAATCGCGGTGTCCGCGCAAAGGGTGCACCGGGCGCCCGGTATCCGCTTCGACGACCCACGCGTCCGCCGAGTCGCCAATCAGCACGCGCAGGCGCCCGTCTGGCGAGGTCGTCGTGCAGTTGATGGCCCGCGAGAGCTCGTGGTCCGCCACAAACGTGTTGGTCTCGCAATCCAGCACCCGCAAGTGACGGTCATTCGACGCGAAGATCCCCAGTGGAGACCGATTCGTCCGGCTCGGAATGATGTCGACATGGTTGGTGATGCCATTCGCGTCCTTGGTCACATAGCCTTGCACGCCCGGGCCTGTCGTGCCCGCCGCTCGCACGGCATATTCGCCCGAAAACCCGCCCGCGATGGTCGTGTCGTGCGCCGACTTCATCGTCGAGATCTTGACGGGGCCCTGCAGCCCCGACTCGACCGTCGGCCGTGACAGGTCGAGCAGGCAGACGAGATCGTCGTATGCGGGCACCCACGAGTAGACCTTTGACTCGTGTGCAAAGTGGACGGTATTGTATGCCGCCACCGACATCAGGTTCCGGAGCTGAAAGTGCTCGACGGTGGCTTTGTGTTCCGTGTACATGGCCTTGCCGCGAAAGTACGACTCTTCCTGCGGCAACCTCGCGCCAGGCCGTTGCCGGGAATATTCCAGGTTGTGGTACGATGTATACGACTGGTCCCGCAGCTCGCGCACATAAGCCCGTTTGATCCGCAAGGCATCCCACCAGGGGATCTGTTGCAGATCGTAGAAATCTCGCGCATACCCCGGCGGTCGATAGATTTTCGGCGGAGGGATCCACCCGATCAGATGCGCAATGGCGCTGCGGGGGAGGTGTGCCGACGACATGGACAGACTGGGAATCGCGGAGGCGGCGGACGACTGGTACAGCCACTGGGCAATAAACTGGTCCACGTTCAGATTCCTTTCGCGGGCTAGTACTAGGTTAGCATGCCGCAAGAACCGTAGAAACCGATGGAGACTCACTAGTTCCAACCACTGGAGCAGCAAAATGCGTCTCGCCCGTCGGGTCGGCATTGCTTGAATCGTCCCCCTCGGAAAAAACATTGCTGTAGTCGTCGCGCATGGAACCGGGCCCCATATCAGATAATTCAGGAGCAGAGGGTGAAGGTGGGTCGTGATAAAAGTCTTCCAGCTCTTCCTCTGACAAATACGCCGTGCCATGGCGGGTCCCCATGTCACTGGCGACATCGTCGTCGTATTCATCGTCATAATCCGAGTAGAACTTTTGCGTGTCATCCGGGTCGTCCTCTGCGATCGACTGCGACGTGGACCCGTTCTCCATCACCGACGGCTCATAGTCCATGATCAGATCGGTCGCCTCCCCATCTTCGGTGTCGCTGGAGATGGTGGACGCGACGTGGTGCGCGGGCACCGGGGTATCCAGCGACTGGTTGAGGAGGGCTGCCATACCGACGTGTCCACCGATGTAGGGCTCCAGCGGGACGCCACCCATCTCCGACAGCGCGTCTGTCATTTCCGAGTCCGAAACGTACCATTCCACCGGGGGCGACGACGGGTTGGGCGCATGGTCGGGCACAGTCTGACGCACCAGTAAATCGTCGCGCGCCCTCACCGCATTCACCACCTCGGAGGAAGTAGCGTAGGGCCGATCGGGAGACTCGAAGACGTGCGTATACTGGGGGACAGCCAGGAAGGCGGAGGCGGCCAATTCGCTCGTGTTCCGGTCGTCTGTATCACCGTGGATGCCCGCCGCGGAAGCGTCCGAGCTGACGGCGGGCGCGGGGTCTTCGATGGACGGCATCTGCAACCGGGTCGACGAGGAGGCGTTAGGCGAGGGCAGACTGTCTGGGGTCCAGGGATGTGAGGATCTGGGGACGGTGCATGCTGACGGGCTGCGGGCGCGGGTACTCGGGGGTCCCGGCAGGACCGAGGTGCTGGAGGAGGACTCGGAGGCAGAGGAGGATGAAGACGAAGGGAAATCGGAGGCAGTCGGGCCAGGCATTCCGGTCAGGGCGGCGCGGCGCAGAGTTGGCAACGGGGCTGGCCACCGATCAATTGGGGCGAGCGGTGGGGAGGAATAAGCAGGGAGTGGAATATAAGTAGTAAGGAATTTGAGACGGAGGAGGGATCAACCGGTGATTGGCACTGGGGTGGGTTGCACAGGGATGAGGGCCGGTCGGGACCACGTTGTTGGCCCTCCGATCGCAATCAATCAATCAATCAATCAATCAATCCCCGGTCGGATCTGGACTTCTGCAGCCGATAAGTCAAGTTCACCCCGCAGGGCGTATTGCCCACCTCCCCCACACCGATAGGGATAAGCGTAGGGTTGAACTCCCAGAGTGGGACAACCACTGCGCTAACTGGAGAGAAAATGGGAGAGAGTCAGTGTGTGTTGTGCGTTGTGTGACCAACCCGCCATGAAGAGGTCAGTGGTGGTGGTGGTGGCTTAGCAGTGTGGGAGGAGAAGAAGGAAGGAAGGGAAGTAAGGAAGCCAGTGGGAGGCGGACAGAAGGAATGGAAGAATCCCGAGGTGGAGGGGCGGTGTCGCACCAAAGTAACACACCACCAATAAAGACACCACCACTAGATACTGGCCGGTGAACAGGTTATAAGATGGAGGTGAAGGCCAAAAGGTAGTAAGTAGGTAGAAGGGAAAAAGCAAAATACCCGACAGGACTCAAGATGGGAGTGGGAGGCCAAGAGGCCGTCAATCATACCCCAGTTAGGTAGACTGCAGGAAAGAGGCAGCAGATGCCGCAGAAGAGGCGGGAAAAGAGGCAAAAAGTAAGAGAGGAATGGGAATGAAAAGAAGGAGACGGTCGAAGAAGAAGTAGAAGTGAGACAGAGAGGGAGGAGGAAAAAGCAACTTGGAACTGTAAGAGATGGAAGTGAAAGAGAGAGAGAACGTGGATCCCGATCGGGGCTGTCACATGGAGGGGGAGAGTTGCCGATCACGAGGCAAGACAGAAAGAGTATGATGATTGAAAAACTAGTAGAACTTTATGTATGGGGGTTGCTGCAGTTTGTGAGTTGGGGAAGTTAATGCTGCTTCTATTCTAACCCTGTTTTAAGTTTAAAGACTAGGTGTGAAGTAGTAGTGGTAGTGCTAGTAGATAGTAGTAGATAGTACTTGGTACAAGTGACATGGTCTGATTCTAACGGGATGTATATGTCCGCAGTCAGGGCTTGCTGCTACCAAGTACTAAGGTAAGTACTAAGTAGTTCAAATCCCGATTGGGTTGGTTTCTTTTTCTCTGATGTCTGATCTATTG